TTGTAGCAAATACTCATATATATTAGTGGCAGAGTTCATATAATGCATGTCTTCTATGGCAAATTTCCAGTTTTACTATTGTGTTGTCATTTTGTTTTGGCTCAAGATCAACTATACTGAGAGTTTGCTCCTTCAATTATGCAGTACATCTGTATGTTGCAATAGTAACTTTGCAAACTAGTATTTTTCGGAGCATATTATATCTTTGAAACTGGAAAACATTCTGGTGAGAAAGGTGTTTAAAGTGATATTGAGTTAAGGTTTTAAGAACAAAAGAAATATTTGTATCAAAAAGATTTGTCTTGTCTTGGATCCTTGGACATGTGGAGGGAGGGAAAGCAAAACATTAATAATGCCATTCATTTCTCTTCTGGCTTGTCTATACCTGCCTTTCAAATTTAGCTGAATCCATTGATGTTATTAATTGCTGAACACTTCAGAAGGGAATTTAATATCCCTGTATATTTAAGAAGTGTAGAGAATTTTACTGCAAACCAAAAGTCTGCATTGAGTGAACTTAATTTTAGTATAAACATTCTGCACCCTTTTCCATGTATGCCTTTCAGTTCTAGTTAGGGTTGATTTTATTTTGCCAAGCAAAGAAATCTGTCCTTTATACTTCAGGGATGATGCTTAATTAATCTTTTTGAGCAAATGCTTACAAAGTTCTAGCTTGAAATAATTTTTCTCTTTCAACCTATATAAAATATAGCAGAATTGTACTTTTTTTAGTCCAGTTCCATTCAGTATCAGGACTGTACTTATAACTCAGATACAGAAATTAAGGCCAAAGATAAATCATCTCCCTCTGCAAAGATTTCATAATAAAAATTTAAAAATAATCTCATGTATAGCTGAAGAAATATGTGTGTGGGTTTGGTTTTTTTTCTTTTTCCTGGAGGAAAAATAAGTAACAATTTGTGACAGGTAAAAAAGTTAAAAAAGGCATAAGGTACATCAGGGGCTGCCAGTGGAGAACTATAGCTGAGGTCCAGAAAGTTTCACTTTCTCAAGCAATTTGAGGAGGTGCAGGTATTATTTCAAGTACTTTTCTACTGTAGAAGAGTTTCCTGATGCCAAAACCATCAGATGACATGTTTGGGGTTTTTTATACCTATAGGAAGTTAAAAATTAGAATGGGGTGTTTCAGATCCTACTGCAACATGTTCTCTTTCAGAAGAAAAGAAACCACGGGATAGGTCAGTTGAACTAAGGATGTAGACCATGGCTATGAAGAGAACCTGTAGACCTTCAAAATATGCTGATGCAATTGTCAAAGAATAGATCCAAACAAATTTCCTCCCTGTGTTTGAAGTATTATTAGTATTTTACAATAAACCAAAACTGAAACATTAATCAATAATATTGTATTATTTTGTTGAATAATTCTAATGAACTGCTTTTCTTTTCTCTGACAGATGAACGGGAAGATGTTCAAAAGAAAACTTTCACAAAATGGATAAATGCACAGTTTGCTAAGGTAATTTATTTATTTTTTTATTTATTGCCCAAAATATCTTTTTATATATTAAAAATAAATAAAGAAACCTGATATTCCTATGCTGAGGCTTGGTTTTGAAGATAAAAGTTACAAGTCTCAGATATTGCTGAAGGCATTTGACTGGTTTATTAGAAAAAAAAGTTTAAGCTTTATTTCTCATCATTTGTCATTTTACCAGGCAATAGGCAGCAATGATATAGTAGCTGTGATACATCTTTTGTTTAGTCTGGATTTTTATTGTGTTCCATCTGATTCTGCCCATTAAAAAAGGCAACTAAGATAATCTGAATAGAACCACCATCACGTTGAAAAACATGCTCAGCAGTGGTATATGCCATCAGGGAGTCCCACAGGGCTTTTCCATGGTCTACAACATTTTCTAATACTGATTCAAGTGATTTAGCACACATTTGTGCTCAGCATCTTTACAGCAGAAATGTCCAGCAATTTGGAGTGGATCAGGATGAAATACTGTCCTGAAGAATGATGAATTACAAGACAGCTGTGAAGTATTTGTTTAGGACAGCAGTAAAACATGCATACAGAATAGGTGGGCTGGCAATAACGAAGGAAAGGAAAGCTCTGGGAACTGTGTTGAATCATTAACAAAATGAATCCTCAACATGGTAGTATTGCAGAAAAAAGGCAACTTTAATGTGGTTCTGATAATGGAAGTGCTTCACACAGGGTGAAAGATGTAAATATTTTCTTTTCCTTGGCAATACTGAGATTTTAGCTTGAGTAATTTGTAATCTTGATTTTCCATGTATGAATAAGTAGCCACAGCAATAATCATCTGATACAGCCTAATTTGAAATGTATTACCAGTTAGGCCTTTTTATGGTCACAGAAGTAGTTGTGGAAAATGAAGAGTAACTGTTTTGCTTCTATAGCTAAGGAAAATGTAATGCTCCTAGAGCATTGTTTTCTCAGAAATGATTGTTTTATGGAATAGCAAAGCTGCAATTACTGAGGGAACTTAGACCAATTTTGCAGAAGAATAACAAGAATTATGAAGGGTTTAGCAAATACCTATGAGCACATGCTTTTAATATTAGGTTTGACTCATTCATCTGAATGATCTAGAGCCCCTTCCTCCAATTCTAGTTCTATTTAGTGTAGATTAATGGTGTCTTAGCTACTTTTTATTTGAATTTTATAACAGTATTTTTAGTTGCATGTGAAAATGTACTTGCAAACATATATTTGTAAAAGTACTAATCTCCCTCTACTTCGTTTGGGCTCTGAGAAAAACCTTGTAAACATTATGATTCAAGTTCTTATTTGCCTGAAGCATCACCTGGGGTTTTTTGGACAGGGTCTTCTTATTTCAGCTATCAAAAAACTATTGATCTTTAAATCTTGAAGAAACTACTTTTTTTCTGGGTTTTAGGACAGAAATACAGGAGGACTTGCTGTATAGTGCCAGGACAGTGTTTCTCCCTCTTCTAACAGCTTGGAGAAGTGGTCTGCAAAACATGCAAGTGTATTTCCTAGTGAGATCTACAGTTTGTCCCTCTTCTCCTGACTTCCTTGCAGTGGTTCAAATCCATTTCTGTTTCTAGATGTGAAATCGATTTCAGTTAGTAGGCTACTCCTTGTTAGTGATTTCTCATCATTGTTAGCTTTGTAGAAGTGCTGAATGAATTACTTTCATTGCAGAATTGTTTTTTATTCAATCCTATGCAGTTCCAGGGGTGCTGTCTTGAGTAGATTAGCCTACAGGGTTGAAATTAAGACAGAGAAATGTATTACATTAGNTAAGAAGTTTGTAATATAACATCAGATTGGATATTTATCTTCGACCAACAAAATGTATCTTCTCTCATCTTCTGTGTACTGCATGTGGCTGGAATGAAACAAAACTAATATAATAAAAAACTTACTGTCAATACAGAGGGAAGTGTTGCTTGTGGGGAAAAATAACATTTTTAACAGCTTTAGCATCATGTATTACCAAAAGCATGCATCTCCTTCACATGCTGTTGCTTTTAGATGAGTTTCTTAACCATTCAGGTATTACTTTCAGCCAAAGGGTGAAGCTGACAGCGTTACTTGGGATAAATAGCAATAGAATCCAGGAAGTTTATTGTAGCAAATACTCATATATATTAGTGGCAGAGTTCATATAATGCATGTCTTCTATGGCAAATTTCCAGTTTTACTATTGTGTTGTCATTTTGTTTTGGCTCAAGATCAACTATACTGAGAGTTTGCTCCTTCAATTATGCAGTACATCTGTATGTTGCAATAGTAACTTTGCAAACTAGTATTTTTCGGAGCATATTATATCTTTGAAACTGGAAAACATTCTGGTGAGAAAGGTGTTTAAAGTGATATTGAGTTAAGGTTTTAAGAACAAAAGAAATATTTGTATCAAAAAGATTTGTCTTGTCTTGGATCCTTGGACATGTGGAGGGAGGGAAAGCAAAACATTAATAATGCCATTCATTTCTCTTCTGGCTTGTCTATACCTGCCTTTCAAATTTAGCTGAATCCATTGATGTTATTAATTGCTGAACACTTCAGAAGGGAATTTAATATCCCTGTATATTTAAGAAGTGTAGAGAATTTTACTGCAAACCAAAAGTCTGCATTGAGTGAACTTTATTTTTGTATAGGCATTCTGCACCCTTTTCCATGTATGCCTTTCAGTTCTAGTTAGGGTTGATTTTATTTTGCCAAGCAAAGAAATCTGTCCTTTATACTTCAGGGATGATGCTTAATTAATCTTTTTGAGCAAATGCTTACAAAGTTCTAGCTTGAAATAATTTTTCTCTTTCAACCTATATAAAATATAGCAGAATTGTACTTTTTTTAGTCCAGTTCCATTCAGTATCAGGACTGTACTTATAACTCAGATACAGAAATTAAGGCCAAAGATAAATCATCTCCCTCTGCAAAGATTTCATAATAAAAATTTAAAAATAATCTCATGTATAGCTGAAGAAATATGTGTGTGGGTTTGTTTTTTTTCTTTTTCCTGGAGGAAAAATAAGTAACAATTTGTGACAGGTAAAAAAGTTAAAAAAGGCATAAGGTACATCAGGGGCTGCCAGTGGAGAACTATAGCTGAGGTCCAGAAAGTTTCACTTTCTCAAGCAATTTGAGGAGGTGCAGGTATTATTTCAAGTACTTTTCTACTGTAGAAGAGTTTCCTGATGCCAAAACCATCAGATGACATGTTTGGGGTTTTTTATACCTATAGGAAGTTAAAAATTAGAATGGGGTGTTTCAGATCCTACTGCAACATGTTCTCTTTCAGAAGAAAAGAAACCACGGGATAGGTCAGTTGAACTAAGGATGTAGACCATGGCTATGAAGAGAACCTGTAGACCTTCAAAATGTGCTGATGCAATTGTCAAAGAATAGATCCAAACAAATTTCCTCCCTGTGTTTGAAGTATTATTAGTATTTTACAATAAACCAAAACTGAAACATTAATCAATAATATTGTATTATTTTGTTGAATAATTCCAATGAACTGCTTTTCTTTTCTCTGACAGATGAACGGGAAGATGTTCAAAAGAAAACTTTCACAAAATGGATAAATGCACAGTTTGCTAAGGTAATTTATTTAGTTTTTTATTTATTGAGCAAAATATCTTTTTATATATTAAAAATAAATAAAGAAACCTGATATTCCTACGCTGAGGCTTGGTTTTGAAGATAAAAGTTACAAGTCTCAGATATTGCTGAAGGCATTTGACTGGTTTATTAGAAAAAAAAGTTCAAGCTTTATTTCTTTGATTTCAGCAGTAATAGAAATGTAGGAAGCTGTCCTTCTCTTAAAATGTTCTCTGCCTCAATTTACTTTGCCTTTTCTCAAACTAATGATGCATCTGTATTACTCTTTGTTGGATTTCTTTGTTATGTTTCTAATGTACAAAGGCATTTCCTCTATTAGACTTGTCCTTTCTTGTTTCTAATTGCAATTGCATCTTTAATAAAACTGGATGAATTGGGGAAGAGCAAGGTCAGAGAAAAGAGGTGTGATCCAGTTATCAAATGATGAAAGTAAATTATAATATGTTTTTAAATAGTTATTTTTAAGAATTGGTAGATCATAAATGGGGTGAGGAAAAATAAGACCAAATAACTAATTTATTTAAAGCATGCCCTTCTGGCAATATATAATAATTTTGTCTTTAATACTCAGGAAAAATTCTGCTTGAGCTATTAATTTGCTGAAACTCTTTTTTGTTGTTGTTTTTTGTTGTTTTTTTAATTCCTGGAAGATGACTCAGACTTATTTGCCAGTAATAATTAAACAAATCAATCTCATCATTTGTCATTTTACCAGGCAATAGGCAGCAATGATATAGTAGCTGTGATACATCTTTTGTTTAGTCTGGATTTTTATTGTGTTCCATCTGATTCTGCCCATTAAAAAAGGCAACTAAGATAATCTGAATAGAACCACCATCACGTTGAAAAACATGCTCAGCAGTGGTATACGCCATCAGGGAGTCCCACAGGGCTTTTCCATGGTCTACAACATTTTCTAATACTGATTCAAGTGATTTAGCACACATTTGTGCTCAGCATCTTTACAGCAGAGATGTCCAGCAATTTGGAGTGGATCAGGATGAAATACTGTCCTGAAGAATGATGAATTACAAGACAGCTGTGAAGTATTTGTTTAGGACAGCAGTAAAACATGCATACAGAATAGGTGGGCTGGCAATAACGAAGGAAAGGAAAGCTCTGGGAACTGTGTTGAATCATTAACAAAATGAATCCTCAACATGGTAGTATTGCAGAAAAAAGGCAACTTTAATGTGGTTCTGATAATGGAAGTGCTTCACACAGGGTGAAAGATGTAAATATTTTCTTTTCCTTGGCAATACTGAGATTTTAGCTTGAGTAATTTGTAATCTTGATTTTCCATGTATGAATAAGTAGCCACAGCAATAATCATCTGATACAGCCTAATTTGAAATGTATTACCAGTTAGGCCTTTTTATGGTCACAGAAGTAGTTGTGGAAAATGAAGAGTAACTGTTTTGCTTCTATAGCTAAGGAAAATGTAATGCTCCTAGAGCATTGTTTTCTCAGAAATGATTGTTTTATGGAATAGCAAAGCTGCAATTACTGAGGGAACTTAGACCAATTTTGCAGAAGAATAACAAGAATTATGAAGGGTTTAGCAAATACCTATGAGCACATGCTTTTAATATTAGGTTTGACTCATTCATCTGAATGATCTAGAGCCCCTTCCTCCAATTCTAGTTCTATTTAGTGTAGATTAATGGTGTCTTAGCTACTTTTTATTTGAATTTTATAACAGTATTTTTAGTTGCATGTGAAAATGTACTTGCAAACATATATTTGTAAAAGTACTAATCTCCCTCTACTTCGTTTGGGCTCTGAGAAAAACCTTGTAAACATTATGATTCAAGTTCTTATTTGCCTGAAGCATCACCTGGGGTTTTTTGGACAGGGTCTTCTTATTTCAGCTATCAAAAAACTATTGATCTTTAAATCTTGAAGAAACTACTTTTTTTCTGGGTTTTAGGACAGAAATACAGGAGGACTTGCTGTATAGTGCCAGGACAGTGTTTCTCCCTCTTCTAACAGCTTGGAGAAGTGGTCTGCAAAACATGCAAGTGTATTTCCTAGTGAGATCTACAGTTTGTCCCTCTTCTCCTGACTTCCTTGCAGTGGTTCAAATCCATTTCTGTTTCTAGATGTGAAATCGATTTCAGTTAGTAGGCTACTCCTTGTTAGTGATTTCTCATCATTGTTAGCTTTGTAGAAGTGCTGAATGAATTACTTTCATTGCAGAATTGTTTTTTATTCAATCCTATGCAGTTCCAGGGGTGCTGTCTTGAGTAGATTAGCCTACAGGGTTGAAATTAAGACAGAGAAATGTATTACATTAGTCATTTGTCTTGAGAAAAGTGAAATCCAGGTCAACAATTAACTGTAAAATATTTAGGTTTAAATGAAGTTTTGTTAGAAAATTCTCATCACTCCACTACCTTCCATATAAAAAACAAAAACATTCTTATACAGTCAAAAAAACCCTTCTTAATATTCTAAATCTTTATTTGTGTTGGGTGTATAATGCATTTCTTCACAAAGACTTGCATTACTTTCCTAAAAATTAAGGTCTAGAGCACCTGTGTCTCAGGGCATTTATTCTCTCTCAGACTAAGATTTCAAAATACTCAGATTTGCAAGTTGTTTCAAATTACTTGTGATTCACATATAATGCAATTACATACAAATAATGCTTTTAAATGTGAGAAGCTGTAAAGAACTGAAAAAATAATTTTCTAATTTATGTGCCACCAGCATAACTTGAGAACCCACATATAATTTTTACCTGTGGGGGAAGAGAGTTGTCCTTCCTCTGGCCATGCCCACAGTGACATTTCAGCTGGCTCATGTGTAGCTACTTCACTCAGATGCCTCGAGTTTATCAGTGAACTCTGATACCTCTTAGCTGCAGAGTTAAGTCCCTGACATGAAATCTGTAACAAACTTTCAGCCACACAATCTTGACAGTTTTCTGTCTGAGACATGCAGAACCTAAAACCCCTGCAGTGTTACCTAGAAGTCTGTGAATAAGTATCTAGGAAAAGATAGAAGAAATGCCAGCAATATTTCAATTGCTATGGGTGAGGCTGTGTCTCTCTTCAGGCTTTTTTTAGCAAGTTGATTAGGGTGCTCTAAATCAAAAAAGTGTAGAAAATAAATTTTGCAGATCCCTCTTACAGTTTCTCAAAAGAGCAGGGTTCTCTCTAATTTTTACTTCTTTTGCTAGCCAGAAAATGGATTATGCAGAAAGTCTGTGCCTTGAGAATTACAGTGTGTGACTCATCTATAAGAAAATCAAAGTTTCAGTAGGAAAAGCCAAAAGTCAGCTTTCAATGTTTGTGGGATAAAATAGTAAATTTAAAGTATAAGAGAAATGGGAGAAGGTAATCCAAGAGACCTCTCTTTTCTCTGTTGAAATCATAGACATGGGGTGTAACTTTCTTGAGTAGTAACTTGTTGGTTTACCATCTAAATGGCATGCAATAAACTGAAGCTTAAAGCAATTTTTAAAATGTGGAACATAATTATAATGCCATTTTAGTCAGAAAAAAGTTTGCTTTGACCTCAGATGAAGTTTATTTATAAAATAATGAAGCTCTGCAGGGTGTACATAATGATATTAAAGGAAAGTATTATAACCTACTTTTTAATAATAGAACTGTAATTAGAGCTCTCACTAGAAATATATCTGGTCCTGGGTATGACAGGTTTTGCTCAGATACCAACTTTTAAAATTTGACATAGCTGACATCCTGATCTATGTGTTTTGGGAGAACAAAACAAGTCTCTCACAGCTCTGCAAGTGTAGCAGCTCTCAGCTGGGACATGGAAGCAGACACAACAATTACTTTAACAGTGCCTGCATCCCATGATAAATTATTTTATTTTCCTTGGTTAAACATTTGGCCTCGTTCATTGCATAATATGTTTCAAAACAGAAAATGCTACTGAAGATAAAAATACTCTTGCATATAGGAAAGAGCTTGTATATGTGAATTCTATGAGGAAAACATTAAATTTCCAGCACAGAAAAAAACCCCAAACATAAAGGCAAAAAATAAAAAAGCAACACCAAACCCTAAAAAGGAAAGAGTAAATTTCTTTGACTAAAGGAATAAGGACAATTTTTTTGTTCCCTTGTTATAGACAGAGTATCTCAAATTAATGACAATTTTAATGTCAGCAGTGGAAGTATCTTTTGTTACTACAGTGGAGGACATGAGCTAATAATTGCAAACTTTGTTAGCTTGAATTTTAGGGTATGATCTTTTGGCCAGCTTGAAGTCACAGCTTAACCTCTAAGTGGGTTTCATAAAAGAATGGTAGTTTGTGAAGGAGCTTTCAATATTTTAATCCATGATATCAAATAACAGATGTTCATAAAATCAGAAGTTAAAATCAGAAGTTTTGCAAATTCAGAGGTTTCAATAGGTTTTCTGTATTTCTGCTGCAAGAGAATAGAAAGTTCCCCTACACAGTCATGAAACACATTATATGTGACAGTAGACTTTTTCATGTAAACGTTGTAATTATTAATTTCTAACTGGGTAGGAACAAGTGTCAGAAGATAAAGCATGCTAGGTTTGGGAAGGAAAAAAAGTGGGTAGTTTTTTATGGTTTCTTTACCTCATGCTTGGATTTTCTTCCTTTTGTTATTGAAGAATTGGAATATGAAAACAGATGAAAGGATACCAAACATTACATTCCTTAGCTTTATGGAAAACCAAGATCATTTGATAGCTCTTTTTGTGGAGAATTTAAGTTGTGAAAAATGGCACATTTTATGGGCAGATGGAAACATTAAGATGTAGTTATTTGCGTGGTGACTGTGGAATTAGATTCCATTCTTGTGTGATCATGTGAAGAAACACAGTAATGATGCAACCTGTGCCAAAGTAAGGTTGTTAGCTTCATTTAAAATACATGTGGCTAATAAAAAACAGTCAGCAAAATTAAATACACCTTTTGCTAATGAAATAGTTTTGAATAGCAACTAAATTGTTCAGTCATGTGCTATATGCA